CAAACATATTTTCGACTCGATATCCACTGAAAGTTTGAGTATATAATTCACAATTCAGTCCCTTGGCTACACAGAAGGATGGCCAGAATTCACTATCTGCAGAAAACTTTATTGCCCAAAATGACTGATTTTGCTGAGAAAATATTCAGTTTGCCTTATTTTTATGACTTAACAAGTGTGTTGCATCTTATTTAAGCTTTTAGACTCTTACTTGCTACGTTGTAATACGAGGTCAATTTAATTTATGTTTGCATATTGCGTTCTCACTTTTGTCAGGTTAATTGAAATTTAAGGCTTTAATTTGACTCGTCTTCAATCAGTTAACAATATTTGTGCTAGAGATGACCCGCATAGGTGGTTATACCAGACTCCTTTGGCTAGTACCAGAATATCCTACTGAGAGTCTTCTGGTAAATTTTTAACATAAGGTTAACTATTTCTCGAGACAGCATCCAAATATTGTATCCATAAAATATTTGCTAATCAATACAATAAACGATTCGCAATGTTCTTAATTTAAATCTACTAATAAGTGCGCAAGTAATTTATTCTCATTATGACAAAAGTCATACACTTATTTTTATAAATTTTATTGATTGCAATGTTTTCTATACATTTACTGAATGCTATTGTTACTAGCATTTTTAGTATTTATACTCAGATTCCTTTTGTAGTTTTCATTTTATGTTAATGATCATCCATTTCTGAAATAATGGTAGGCGTGAAATAGACAAGTATATCTCAGTGAAAATCAAGATGGCGAGACTAACCAAACGTGATTCAGCAGTTTACAAAATAAATTTCTTATATGTAAAAATGTTCCTCCCATGTAATTTCTCCAAGCTTATTTGCTTTTTACGTGTGTTTTGCTTTAGATTAGGAATTGATCTAAAATCACATAGGCAAATATCTAATAAAGCTCTTAGCTAAATGTGACTTACATCACACTGCAAGTCTATGTTAAGCTTAAGCCTAATAAACATAGGCCTTTATATTTCCTTCAAACTTCCTTGAGCAACATCAATTGAGTCTTTTTTCAAGCTAATCTGATTTATCGAAATTAGCTGAAGTAGATACAATAGAATAAATAGAATTATCAAGTTTGGCTTATCTTTCTTAAACCGTAATTGCTTTTTAGATAATACGTGTTGAGAGTCTGGCTTTTTAACCAAAAAACAAGACACAAGCTAAAACTAATTATATAAACAAGAAAATAGGCTTTTCATCTCGAAGATCAGAAGACCGATGCTTATTTCTTTATACTGAAACTATTTGTGACATTTAAACGAATTCTGGGGGAAACAAGCGATTAAATGTATTAAAGTATTTTTCCACTTGCCTTTCGCTTCGACTTCAGCTGCATAATTTCCTGCTCATGCACTTGCGCTCCTGGCAGTCTCCGTTGCCAAAGCTTTCTGCCTACGATGCCGTACGTAATGCCCAGAATGCTGAGAGGGATCAAATAAATAAGCATAAATAGTACAATTGAGTATACACGTTGTCTATCAGAATCTTTGCCCCAGTCTTCACTGCAGTTGACAACTCCGTCTGGTTGCGTCACTACGCGAGTGACGTACAGTTGAATGGACGATCCAAGACCGGCGGCCGTCCAGATGGCGGCCAGAATGCATAAAGTGCGTCTGAACGCGGCTCGTGGCGTGAGCCGATGACGTTGGATGGGAAATTGAACGCAGATGAGTCTGTCCAATCCGATGGCCATGTTGGTGAGAATGGAGGCTGTGACTGCGAATAACTGGAGATAGGCGACGAGAGGACAAAAGG